GCTGGGGTGCCAACAAGTATTTCATGCAGTCTCTGGGGGAGGGAGAGGCGGGGACAGTGAACAGACTGCTCCTGTGGGCAGGAGCGAGCCCCCTCTCAGGGAGGACACAGGCCTGTGCAGGTGGCCATGTATGGCTGCGTCCTTGGGTGGCTCCACACGAATCTGGGGCAGTGTGAACCTCCCAGGCAACAGGGAAGGGGACGGAAGAATGACCCACAGCACAGAGAATGGGCTGTGTGGACACAGAGAAGCCAATGAGCAGTGGGCAAGGCATCTTTTCTGACACCACACGGTAAAGTGGCTTCTTTCCTCAGTGCTCACTTTTCCAGGAAGTCTGGGCAGTTGACCATTCCCAAAGGACGGAGAACTGTGTGTGTGTGTGTGTGTGTGTGTGTGTGTATGTGTGTGTGTGTGCGTGCTGCACAGGCTATGCACAGTGTTACTATTTAGGAGAAAAAACTGTCCACTTACAAACATGTTTTTGTTTTGTCTTTGAGTTTTGGGAAATTCACATTTCTCTTCATGCTGCTGGTTAATTACTCTGGAAGACAGCAGCTGGGAGGCATGGCTCTTGGCCATTGTATTTCTTGAAGAGAAGCTGTAGGGGTGAAAGGGAAGGGTCAGTGGATCAGAGATCACCCTGTGGGTGAAGGTTTGCTGGATTTAAGGTACTTTCTGCTGGCCTGACATCTCCTATCTTGTCTTGCCAAGGGCAAGGAAGCCTGGTTCTGACGCTGCCGCTCTGCTCTCTTCACTCGGCAGTGCTGGGGAGGAGTTGGCGCCCGGCTGACAAGGGTGGGCCCGAAGGATGAGCACCTCGCAGGCTGCTTACAAAGAGGCTTAACTGTGTGTTTGCATGTTTACTGATTAAATGCTTTGGTGACGGCTGACTGTGAGCATTCCCTGTGTTCCTACAGTCATTCACACACACACACACACACACACACACACACACACACATTCATGCGCATGTGTCACTTCAGCAAAAGGTCTGGTTTACTTCAAATGCCCAAGTGCTCTACAAAGAAATCCCAAGAGTGTGGGAAAGTAAGACCTGGACACACCTGTGCCTAAATCCACCACGAAGGGAAAAGAAAAATTATTTGGTGAGGTAGATTCTTCTCTTCTCAGAAGGCAGTAAAGCCAGGAGCCGGGTGCAGCAGGGAGTGGGACAGTGGTTCTCAGACTGTGGTGTCCATTAGAAGCTCCTGGGCAGCTTTACAAACCCTGCTGCCCAGGCCACAGCCCAAACTAGTAAAACCGTCTCTCTCAAGGGTGGGGCCCAGGCATCAGCATTTTTAAAGTTCTCCAGGTGAGTCTAGTGTCCAATCAGCACAGAGAACCAGCGTCTTGGGAGGAACAAAGAGGCAGAATTGAGGTGGGCCTTTGAGCCCCACTGGCCTTCTGCCTGCACTGCGAGTGTCCTCGATGACAGCCCCATAGACGACTTTCTGATATGTGGGTTCCAGGCAGGGTTTGCCCTCTGATATGGACAGTTGTTGCCATGGCTCAACTCCCACCTGTTACTGCTCAGGACGTCTGCATTTTCCCTTAAAGTCATCTGACCTTCTCCTGCTGCATCTAAACCCCTCAGGAGAGCACTTTTCTGCTCCCAGGGCCTCCCCTGTCTATGCTAGAATGACAGAACTGGGCGAGGTCCCTTCACCTGGACAAACACTGAGTTGACATACCAGAAAGACCAGCTTTTGGTGGGAGACATGAGAAAATGTATTTGTTCTTCATCAAGTCATATTCAGCTAGACATGAGGCTTCGGTTAGAGCCAAGACTCAAGCAAGGAGGCACTGCCTCCATCCAGGTGCACTGGCCGGTTTTCAGTGCATTTCTGCTGCGCTCTGAGCTCTTACATGGAAAGTTGTTTCTGCTTCTGATGTGGAGCATCTTCGTCTGAGCCACATCGGCTCTGGCTCATGGAGGAAATACGCGCAGAAGGAGAATTCGTAAGGGAGGGAGGTAGGGATCCCCTTCACCTCCTGACTTGCTGGGATCATTCTCACTCACCTGTGGTTTGGGAGGGAGGGGCTGGCTCTTAAGAGGCTCAGGGCTTGGTCTGGTGCTCATTCAAAGTCCTAGCTGAGGGCCGGCCCCGTGGCTTAGCGGTTAAGTGCGCGCGCTCTGCTACTGGCTGGCCCGGCTTCGGATCCCTGGCGCGCACCGACGCACTGCTTCTCCGGCCATGCTGAGGCCGCGTCCCACATGCAGCAACTAGAAGGATGTGCAACTATGACGTACAACTATCTACTGGGGCTTTGGGGGAAAATTAAAAAAAAAAAAAGGAAATTCAAAGTCCTAGCTGAGCTGGGATTGTAGCAGACAGGGAGATGGGCTGCGGCACTGCCTTCATCCTCCACCTGAGCCAAGGGACACTCCAGAAGAGGGCATGGGGGCTGGATCAGCACCATGTCTCCTTCCTGCTAGGTTTGTGTGTGAGTGTCCTGGATGTCCAGGATGCCACATTCTCTGTGCTAGGTTGACATCTGTCAGCTTCATGGTGTGAAGACCTTAGAAGACCCCAGTGCACACAGGCAGCTGATTCACATGGACGTTGAGCTCTGTCTCCTCTCCCTGGTGATCCCTCTCCCAGCCCCAGTGGGAGGCCAGGTTCTTTACTCCCCTGCATCAGGGTGACTCACGTGGAGCTCGAAGACCATCCCTCTCCTGGCCTGAGTTCCTGGAGGGGCTTCTGCTAGGGGGAGACAGATAGAGGCAGCAGTGACCAGAAAAAGGAGAGTTTTGCCTCTACCTGTCTGGGGATGGGGCTTGAGGGTGCTAAGGGCAGGTCTTATCACAGTCAAGGGTCTCAGAAGGGGAGGGGCTTATTCCTAGGGCAGGCTGGCTCTATGCCTGCCTGCCACAGTAATCAGGGCAGCACTAGGGTGAGGCAAGAGAGACATAGAACATTTAATGAGGTGCCTACTCTTTGGGTCATGCAAATGCCAACCCGGCGCTTATACCACCCAGAGAGGGAACGCCTCCTTAAATTTTGTCCCCTAGGATCTTTCTTGCTTTAGCCTAGTCCTGATCCTGACAGTAATTATGAATAGCACCCTTATTACTCAAAACTTTCCCAGTTTGGAAGACAAATTATATGGGCACCCTACTCAGGGAGGAATGGTGGCTCTGGTGTCCCTGCAGAGGCTAACCCTAGGCACATGGGTCCCAGGACTGGGAAAGATGGCCATGCCCCGAGCTGGGACAAGAGATTTGTGTGTTCAAGACACCTTTGGGAGTTTGGGTGGTGAGGAAGTCCACTGTGCTGGACTGAAAGCCAGAGACCCTCCACTGTTTTTTGGGCACAGTGTGGGCCTCCTGGTTCTCCTATGACCCCAGGGTGGTGGGTAAGCCTAGTACCAATGAAGCGAATTTTGTTGCTGGCTGAGTGAGACAGCAGATTGAAGTCAGACTTACAAATATTCAAGAAAATAAGGAATGTGTATTGGCTTGTATCTGAATCCGAATAGAAATACCTAGAACAGACAAGAAACAGGTTACTCTACTTGCCTCCAAGGAAGGTAACTAGGTGGTTGGAGAGCTGGAGGGAGACAATTTACTCTGTGTACCTTTTTGCATGTTCTACCATATAAAGTCATCACCCATGAAAAGATAAATGAAATTCAAATTAAAAAGAACGTTAAAAAATATGAGTTTTTTTCCACATCCACATTTCTGGGAGTAAGATGCAAACCAGCCATACAAAAGCTGATCCCTTCAGATGTCTCACGTGCTTCTGAAAGAGGCCACCAGGACACAATTCGGGAAATTCTTTCTTTTTCCTTTTTCGTATTTGCTGCACGTGACACTATGCCTCATACGTAATAAGCAGCATTCAGTCAATAGTTGTGGGGTGTACTTAAACTCTATACCAGCCCCAATCTAAGATGAGGCAGTTTTTTGTTTGTTTTAGAGAAATAACATCTAAAAAGGCAAATCATGTTACTTTTGTGGATTCTGTGCATAAAATCTGAGTGTCTCTGCTCCTTGCATGCAGAATTCCTTAGTAGAGGGGTTCTACATACGGAGATCATGGTGGAAACGCTTTGTTGCATGATTCTCTCTACATCCGTTCACCAGCCGTCTGTCTGCAAGGCACTGCTCTAGGCAGAAGAGATGCAGTGGTGCGCAGAGTGTCAGAGGCCCTCCCTCTGGGAGCTAACATTGGAGTGGAGGTAGGGAGCAGGGACAGACAGCAAAGACATAAATATATTCCATGCCTGCAAGTGATTAGGGCCAGGGGGAAGGTACCGGCAGCTGGGGAGTGATGGGAGTTTGGGCGATTACTGTTTTGCATCAGGTGGTCAGGAAAGACCTCCCGGAGGAGGTGATATTTGAGCAGAGATCTGAAGGAAGTGAGTGAGCCCACCATGTAAATATCTGAGGAGAGCATTCCAGGTGGAGGGACTAGCCTGGGCAACATGGTGGGATTGGTGGTGGGGGGACAGGGATGGGGACAGGGACAGGGACAAGGACAAGATGGAATAGTCAGTGGGGCCATATCACCTGTTAAGGACCATGGCTTTTCCTCGGAAGGACAAATAGCACTATCACAAGGCTTTGAGCTAGGGAGGTTTAGGAGGAGCATCGGGCTGCTGGGAGGAGTCTAGACTTCTTAGCATGGGGTCAGTTGGAGAGCATTGCAGGAATCTAGGTAGATGAGGAGGGGGCTTGGCCTGGGTGGTCACAGTGGACGTGCGTAGGGCCGCACGCCCAGCTGGGCTAAGGTGGCGGGGCATCTTGCTGAGAGACCAAAGAAATGACCTGGAGACGGCGGGCAAAACACATGGGTTTATTAGGGAGTTACTTACAGGGAAGGTCCGGTGACGGCCGGCTGGACAGGAGATGTGCACCTGCTACGGCCGCCTGAGAGAAGCTTGCTCAAGTGGCAGAGGAACAAAGGCTGCATGCTTGCCAAGGGGGGGTCGTCCCTGTAGGACCTGCATTCCAAGGACCAGAGCTCCCCCCAACCCCCACCCCGGAGCCTCCGTGTTCCCTCAGGCCGCGAGGGTCCCTGTGCTAACTCTCCCACGAGAAAACAGCTGGGCTGGCCAAGCCCAGGACTGTTATCATCGTGAGTGCTGGCGCCCAGCCCAGACAAGGAGCCTCAAGGACACACGATTTTTAAAGGGGCATGCCAGCTAGTGCCCCTACAATGTGGTGGGAGGTATTCGGACGTCAGAGAAAGAGAAGACTCAGGTAGCGCCAAGCTGCGGCAATGATAAAGTCACTGTCAACTGGGGCGGGGAGAGGTGTGGGGAGACCAGGCCAGTGGGTGGGGAGGAGTGAGGAGTGAGTTTGAGCTGCTCAGGGCACCTGTGTGAGGTTGCTGAGTGAGCAGGGAGACGCTTGTGCAGAGCTTAGGGGAGAGGTGGGTGGAAGTACAATTTGGGAGTTGCCGCATAGGGATGGTACATGAAGCTGTGGGCTGGCGAGCTCTCCAGGGGTGGGAGAGTGGACAGAAGAGGCCTGTGGATGGAGCCTGGGGCCCCCAGATATTGGGGAGGATGAGAGAGGGCAGGGGGCAGACAAGACACTGGGAGGTGCAGGAGGGCCACAATGCCCAGGCCCTTGGAGGTCAGGTAGCTGCCAGTCAATGCACATGTTCCCGCCCCTCAGCTCTTCCAACTTCGGGTTGTTCTGAACTGAAGGGAAATGAGAACAACTCTCATGAGGGGCTTGCTAGGGAACCACGTGAATCTTCCAGCCAGGACGCAGAACTGTGTCACTCTAACGTTTCCTAGGAAAAGGAGTGGAGCTTCCATAGAACAAGGGGCATTTCCATTACTTTTCAGTTTTCTTTTCTTTGGAAAGTTAGGTCATTTGTTTGTGGTTTGGAAAGCGCCCTGCTGCTTTCCAACATGCTCAGCCGTGGAACCCCAAACTGTCACTGCCCTGGTCCCGGAGATGTAATGGGACATTAAAAACCAACAAGGGTGCCACCTCCGAGTGGGAGGTGCACTGCGCTGCTCCCCAGTGGAGCAGCTCTGCAAGGGGCACAGTGGTGGGCCAGCTGGGATGAGGCCCCTGGGAGGCCATGGGCAGAAGGAGCTTATAATATAGGCCTCAAACAGTGTTAGGTGTCTATGGATGGGATGCTTGGGCACACTGCCCAGGCTGCTTTCCTCCTGGACTCCAGGGTGTTCCTCCCATCCCACACTCCCTGGCCATTGGCCAAAGAACAGTCTCTTACTAGCTTTTTTTTTTTTTTGCAAATCACAGCTCACTCTATCTGTGGGTTGGGAACAAGTTCTCTGGGGAAGAAATGAGCTGAGATGTAATAAAAGCTCATGACAAGCATTTCCCTTGCATACTTCAGAAGACAGGAGGTCAAGTAGCTGGGTTAACACAGTAGTGTGTTTCCAGAGAGGTCCAGATTGTTCAGATGGGCTGTGTCTTGCTTTCATGTGAACGCCTGCTCCCCAGAGTTAGGAACAGATGGTTTCCTTAGCTACACAAGCGTTTGCAGCAGGGTTTAGCAAGCTGCACTGTCTCTTGCCAAGGACTTTCTGGGAGTGGGTGACATGTTCACAAAGGCCATGTGTCACTGGCTCCCCCTTCTCAGCCCAAACTGTATTCCTTCTCATTCTGGGTGAGAGAAATGAAAGCTGGCCCTCTCTTCATTCTTCCCTTTCTGCCCATTCTAAGTTCCTGGCAGCCCTCACCCGAGCCCTGGGAGGAGACAGGAGAATGAATAGCACCTGACTGCTCTCAGTCCGTGGAGACAGAAGAAACCTAGAAACGAAGAACCTTCCAGCACAAGAGTTACCAGATCTCCTTGGATGGGGGTCCATGTCTGCTCATTCCAGAGTCTCCACTGAGATGAGGCCTAAGAGAAGCCCTAGGGTGTTTTCCTCCATCCATATAAAACTGGTTGCAGGATCTCATGGAGCCAATAATGTAATCTATAGGAACTAAGCTCCCTTAGAGTAAAAACCTAGATCAAGTCAAAGCCACTCAATTTCAAAAAATGGAAATTAGAAGAAGTGAAAGAATCTATGTCTACCCTGGCTCAGTGTCCAGCAAGCAGGAAGTAAGGAAGCCCACAAATGTCAGCTCTCCTCCTTGTCAGTTACCAAACATGTCGTGAAAAATACATAAAACACTCCCAAAGTCAGAACCGGGATCCTGCACTTTCTGACAACAATAACCCATAACCAGTCATTACTGTATTTGACAACTGAATTATCAAGGAAACATACTTTTGAATTACTAAGGCAATTCTAACAAAATTTTTACAACAAGTTTTCGGTTAACAAGAATTAAATTTGTTACGGCCTCCTGGATTACGATAGATGAAGTTTTACTCTGTCCCCCCAAAGCAGCACCCCCCGCTCCTCCATACTGTATAACTCTAGAGCAGGGTCAGCTAACTGTTTCTTAAAAAGCTAGAAGTAAATATTTTTAGCTTTGCAGGCCAGACGTCTCGTTGAAACTACACAGCTGTGCTGCCACAGAGCATCTGCGGACGCGCTGTCCACGGACACGCTGGTGTAGAGCATCCACGGACATGCTGTCCACAGACACGCCACAGTGGAGCATCTTCGGACATATGTCAGTAAGAGGGCACCTGTGTTCCAAAAAGAGGCTTCCGCCGTGGGCCATGGTTTGCTGACTGCTGCTCCTAGAGAGGTGCTATCCAGTAGAAATGCAAGCTGCACACGTAATGTTACCTTTTTAGTAGCCACATTAAAGAAAAAGGAAAAGGAAAGAGATGAAATTAAATTTAACAATATATTTTATTTAATCCAATACATCTCAAGTATTACCATTTCAAGATGTAGTCAATAAAAATGAGATATTTTCCATATAGTCTTCAAAATGGGTGTGTGTTTTACACGTACCGCACACCGCACTTTGGGGTGGCTTCATGGACAGAACCTGTGTCCAGTAGCGCCGCCCTGGCCAGCATGGCTGTAGAGAGTGTGTTTCATAAACTGTGCTGAATTTGTCTTTGCTGGCTGAGTCAGTCTCCCACCAGCTTTCTGTTTCTTTCCTGTTTGGAAACACATTGCTCAGGTCTTCTCCATGTGAAGGGCCAAGAGGGTGTGGTGGGGTGGGGTTGTGTGTGCTTGCATGTGTATGTGTGCGTGTGCATGCAGGTGTGTGCATGTATATGTGTATATGTGTGTGTATGTATACATGTGTGTATGTGTGTGTGTGCATGCCTGTGTGTGACTGTATTTAGCAACCTCATGCTCTGTGGGAGGCAAGATTATGAGGACACAATCCCTGTGCCCAGGGAGCCAGGATGGAACGCAGGATGAAAGGAACTCCCATAAAATACAATCCACCGCATGGTGCCAGCAGGCAGGGGTGCGCGGAGGTGCGGCCCCCAGCAGTGAGAGCACACATTCTGTGTGGGAGCTCAGGAGGATGGTGGGTTTTCATCACACAGTGAGGATAGGCTAGCGGCCATCTCAGGGCAAGGACAAAGCTCTGATGCCTCTGCAAAGGCAAGAAGGTTCTGGATGCATCCGGGGAAGCTTGAGGGCTCTGTCTGGAACCCAGTGGGAGGTTTGAGAAGGGGAGAGAGGCTTCACTTGAGCAGTTCTGTGGAAAAGCAGAAGGGCAGTGCTTTTCCCAGAAGCAGGGTGGTTGTGAGGCGAGGGGAGGGTGTGGGTTTGGCCCCGGGGAGAGCCCCAGTCTGCACAGAGGTTTGGCTTGCCCTTACGTGCACCCTGTTCTCAGCCAGAGGACGGACGAAGGGAGCAGGGAGGTGTTATTTGGGCTCCGTTGGCAAAGGAGTGAGGGTGGAAGCTGGGGTGGGAGGAAACTTCATGAGGAACTCCTTTTCTTCAATGATACGCCTTCCATTTAATGTAAAGGTCACTGCAGCATCCTATTAATGAATGGAGATTAATGCATGTTTCTCTACTTAACATCCTGACTCCTGTTATCGAGCACTTTCCTCTGACATTTTCTAAGATCAGATGAATTTCTAAACTTTCTTGGGTACTCAGGAGGCCTTCAAAGGCTTTTCAGGATGTGGAAGTATTGCAACATTCCCTTTCCTCCTCTTGCATCACGATTTAAAGAGAATTGTGTCAACACCTCGCATGGTGTTTTGTTTGAAGTTCATGATGGGGACAATTTCATCCACTCTGTTGTCCTTTAAAAAGGCTATAGGTCAGTCCTAGAGCAGAGAAGTTGTTTGGGGCGGTTCCAGGCCCGCTGCTGCCAACAAGAGGCCGTGTGACGGCTGGGAGCCCCTAGTCTGCTGGTCTTTTCCAAATGTGTCAAATGGGAGTGAGATGTGGACCTGTCCCTGGCTTGCCCCCTCTGTTCCATACACACAGAGGGTTGAGGCTGGTCCTTCAAGGAGGGGATGAGAAGAGGGCCTTCAAGAGGACTTTTCCTCCTTTTCCCTCTTAAAACAGAAAAGCACCCAGTTTCGTGTTCTATGTAAAGTTTAATTTGGGGGAAAACAAAAGTCCCACAGCGTGACATCCAATTATTCTTTTCTTCCCGGTGAAAGTACGCAGATTTGGGTGGAAGTATCCTGGTGGTTGAAGCCTGCTTCACTCTCCCTCTCTTTCACCAGCCACGGCAGCCACAGAGGAGGCTCAGGTGGAGATGGCAGAGCCACCAAAATGTTCCCCTGAATTATTGGTCACTGCACGGAGAACAGTCACCCTGAAGAACTGTCCGGGTGTGCGGCAGCCTCTGAGCGAGCAGGAGATAAACAGCCTCTGTGTTAAGCCCCTGACACCTTGAGCTTCTTCATTTCTGCAGCATGGCTTCACCTACTCCTCCCATTAACTCTGTGAAAAACAGCTTTACAGGGCCGGCCTGGTGGCGTAGTGGTTGAGTTCGCACGCTCCACTTTGGTGGCCCCCCGGGGATCAAGGGTTCGGATCTCAGGCGTGGACCTACACACCGCTCATGCAAACCATGCTGTGGCGGTGTCCCATGTATAAAATAGAGGAAGATGGGCACAGATGTTAGCTCAGGGCCAATATTCCTCACCAAAAAAAAAAAAAAAGGGCTTTAACTAGGCCACAGTCCTTTCCAGCTTCATGATCCCGTGGCGTTTATCTTTCTTTTCCCCATAAAGAGTTTTTATTACTTTCTGGTGGCAAATTAAGAGACAGTCCAGTGCTGTCCAGGCAACAGAATGGTAGTGATCAGAAGGAGCAGAACCAAGAAACTGAATGGACTTGCAAGGCCTGGTGGATCAGCCCTAGCTGAAGGCAATCAGGTGTGAGTGGCTAGAGGGTCTTTGAGGGAGGAGCCTGGGGAGGCCTGTGCCTTGCAGGGATGCCTGGCAGCAGGTGGCAGGGGTGGAGCATGGAGACCAGCGTGCAGCAGCTCTGTGCTAGGATCCAGAAGAACCTTCCGGCAGAGGTGCAGGTGTGGTCCTATACATCAGAGATCTGGGGGACCAGGTCTGGCATGTGGGCTGTCTCTCTTAGGACCGGGGAATGATGGTAAGGACTAAAAGCCATCATGGTGTTTCCTGTGGGCTAGATGCTTTACATGTGTTCTCTCCATTTGTTGCCACAATCCTGCAAAGGAGGGAAATTATCTCTATTTCACTCACAAGAGAAATGCAGCTTGGAGAGGTTAAATAGTTAATTTAATGCTATCCGACGCCGAGACCCTTACCCTTTCCTCCACACCAAGCTGCTTTTTCAAGAAGAGACTTCCAAACAGGGCTGGAAGTGGAACTATGTTGTCGGCAAGATGGATTTGAGGGCGAGTCCGTGAGGTGTCCTGCCCAGGGGTCTTACACTCTGGGACACTAGATCCGGACCCCTTTCCCTCGTGGGGTTCCATAGCTGGGGGCTGAGGGGCTGGATCTGAGACTGGAGGGGCTGCCCTCTTCTGTGTCAATCTCCTACTGACCAGTGGCTTCAGCGCAGTGATGGGGGCGGGCCCAGTTCACTTGTCTTCTGATCTCATTGGAACCTCTCCTTCAGAATAAGGGTGTACACAACACTGAGGGGTTCCAGTGGTGAGCAGTGCTGGGCTCACCAGATGCCCTCCGGCCCCTCCGCCCGTCCTGGGCTCCCTCTCCAGTTGCTCCAGAAGCGCACCTGCACCGCAGCAGCTCTTCTGCAGCTGGCTGCTTCCGGGTACCGGCGCTGCTCTGCCTGCCAGCGCAGAGCTCAAGGCTGGGCATTTCCCTTGCTCCCAGCCCACCTGCAGCCCCCAGGCAATGCCTGACCGTGGGAATGTGAAAGGCCACCTCTGCCTAGAGTCATGGACTCTGAGCTGGAACTCATACCCAGAGCGCCTGCGGGATCAGGCTGAGGCATGGTCTGTGTGGTTTCGCCTGAGGCCTGAGTCGTCCACTGCCTGGCTCCTCCTTCTTGCCTGTCCTGTTTCTCC